CTGCGCACGCGCGGACCCCCGCGGACTCGCCGGAAACGCGGCGGGTCCTTGGGTGCCGGGTCCGTGGCCGCCCCCGCTTCGGCCTTGTGAGCTCCGCGTGCACACACCCTGGCTTTCACAAGACCTGGAAGAGCGGGCCAGGCCTGCGCCGGCGGACTCGCGGAGCCCGGCCCCTCCGCCATCCCCTGGATGAGTCGGCGCCACCTCCTTAAAGAAGCCGGGGGAAAGAGGGCAACGGCCCCATCACCGAGCCCTGCAAGACTGGAGGAGGTGCGGTCATCGTTTGCAACTTGCAATGGAGTGAGGGGAGACCTGGGAAGAAAGACTACAGCAGATCAAATATCTTATTCCAAGTCGTCCTGGGTTATGATCTCTATAGAGTTCTGTAAAATCGGTTTAGGAGAACGAGCCCATCATTCAATCTTCAAATACTATGTAGTAGAAAAGAGTGTGTGACAAAAAGGAGTTTTAAGGGAAAAAAGAATATTCTTTTTGTATAGCTATGTACCAGGAATGGCGATTTAAAAAAAAAAAAAAGTATTTCTTTATGTTAGGTCTGGTCAAAGAAAGTTTGAGAGACGCTGTTCTTTGCAAAGGGACATTCAGAAATAACAATCGTGCGTTGTATTAATGCTGGCCTTACTCCCAGAAGCAGAAGGGCTTTACAGATTACAGCATTCTTCTCCTGTCCCACCCCTATCATGCAGGAATTGTTATCCCTGGCGTTTAGTCTCGCGCATGCACAATAACTTAATGAATGGTTGGTTTCAGTTGAGGAAACCGTAGAGAGGCAAGTGTCAGTCAGAAAGAGGGCTTATAAAACCTCACACAATGCATACACGTTTGAAAGTTGCTACGAGTTTAACCAGTGAAACAGTGGTGCCCCAGGTGTTCTCTGTGTGAATGGATGGTCTAAAAGGTTATGAGAATGGCGAAGACCAGACACAGTGACGTGCGCTGTGTACAGGTGCTCAGCCGGTCAAAAGTCTGAATTACACAAAAGTAAAGCCTCGACCAAATGCTCCATATGCCATTCGTGTGTTTCCTGTTACCCTGGGAATCATTTAGGTAATTAGGTGTGCTTGGCCCAGAGAATGCAAGTATGAACAATCAGTCCCTTATTCTCCAGAGGCTAGTACAGGAGAAAAACATGAAGAAAAATATGGATGAGTTAAGTGACTTGTTGGAAAAATGAACTGGGTACTACGAGAATACCAATAAGAACATTTAGAATTTTTCTAGAACTTTTCATTAAGGCTTGACAAATACGATGATTTCAAAACTACACCCTAAGGCCAAAGGAGTCTACCCGCAGATGGGAAGAGGTGGGTACTAGTTCACTAGTGAACTGCAGTGTAGTTTGTAATAATGAAGGGGGTGCTTCTAAAACTGATTGAAAACATCATCTGTGAGGAAATAGACTTCAAAACATTCAGGAAAAAAAAAGGCAATAATCCACAGACAAGATATTCTACAAAATACCCTTGCTCAAGAAGCATAGAAGATTCTAAGGGGCCAGAAGAGAAAGGAAGAAAGGGAGGGAGAGGGACGGAGGGAGGGAGGGAGGGAGAAAGAAGGGAAATTATACAAGCTGCAATGTTTTCTAGTTGTTGATATGCCCATCTGATAAAAACCACTGAGGGTTAGTCCAACAAAGTCAGCTTTACCAAACTGATGCAAGAAGCGACACCAAACAGCAGAAGGATTGTGACCCTGACTGATCCCCAAAAAAGGATGAAGAAATTTCTGCACTTAGTATAAAATCTAAATGAAGTAGTGCTTGAGACACTCAAAGCAAATCAGATCTACTTCCAATAGTAAACCTGAGTTGAAAAGTAGACTCCAGGTTCCATGCCTTTGGAAACATAAATTTTAAATCAGTGCAGAGCATTGTTTATAAACCCCTTGTCTCTAAATTTTGGCCTGTCTTAGTTTGGAATTCAATAGCTGCCATGAAACACCATGACAAAAAAGCAAGTTGAAGAGGAAAGCGTTGATTTGGCTTATACGTCCACACTGTAGTCAGAAAGGAAGTCAGGACATTGAAGGAAGTCAGGACAGGAACTCAAACAGGCAGGAACCTGGAGGCAGGAGCTGAGGCAGAGGCCATGGAGGGGTGATGCTTACTGGCTTGCTTCACATGGCTTATTCAGCCTGCTTCCTTATAGAACCCAGGACAGCCCAGGTATGGCACCACCCATGATGGGCTGGGCTCTCCCCGATCCATCACTAATTAAGAAAATGCTTATAGGACTGCCCTTGTGAATCTTATGGAGGCATTTTGATAACTGAGGTTCCTGCCTCTCAGATGACTTCAGCTTGTGTCAAACTGACATGAGACTATCCAGCACAGGACTACTTCTCTAAGTCAAACTCGGGTCATTCAAATCCTCCAAACAAGAAGGCATTTTTTTCTCCTCTTAATGATACGATCTCGGAACCCATCGTTTAGGGTTTTAGAGGGAAAAGTTCTCCAGTACTACGTCATTCGATATGCATTTTTTTCAGATTCACATTTCATCATGCCAAATACATATAAGAAAGAGAAAACAGGATTTTATTAAGCAGTCTGCGGGAGACCTGACCTTTAGAGAATTTGAGCTACTGAGAACAGGGGAGATAGGAGACAAGTGGAGCTGGAGAATCAAGCAAGCACCCTGGGGGGGGGGGAGGGGAACTGTGGCAGCCAATCTCCTGATTGTTCTCCTGAGCTTTGCCTCCTGTTGTCCTTGCCTTTGTGTCTCTCCTTCAGAGCTGGTACAAAGGCTAACCTGATGGTATGTGACTCTTGACTGAGATCCTAACAAGCATCATGACTTCTGCCTTGATCTCCTGCACTGCTTTCTATAGAACCGTGGTTCTCAGCCTGTGTCAGGTCATGACCCCTTGGGGTCCCATTATCAGATATTTACATTATGATTCATAACAGTAGCACAATTACAGTGATGAAATAGCAATGAAATAACTTTATGGTTTGGGGGTCCCCACAACATGAGGAACTATATTAAAGGGTCACAGCATTAGGAAGGTTGAGAACCACTGCTATAGAGTGAGCCAGCTGCCATGGAGAATTAATTCTCTGGAAGCCCCAGAGAAGCCAGCACCAGCCTGACAGTCACTTGAGAAACAGACATCTCTCTGCAGGCAAACCTTCAGAAAGCTACAGTCTCATGAATGATCCCATCAGACAACTCAATTAAGATGCACCTAAACTCCTGACTCACAGAAGCTGTGAAAAATAATACATGTTTACTGTGCTAAGCACTGAATTTGGAGTGTGATCTTTTTGCAACTGATTGATTTGCAAAACTGATTGATTAAAAAAAAAACACTGGGACATTTAGAAGAAATAATGAAATCAAAATCACAGAAGCAAAAATAAAGGCAGATGGAGGAGGACGGCGAAGGCTGAGCTTGGAGGAGGGGTGTGAAGTGAGGGGGAAAGGTGGACATGTTTAGTATCAACTTGTGGAAGGCGTAAGTGCCAAAGTGCGCTTTGTTCTGCATGCGAGGATATCCATTCTGTACATCATGTGGAAGTTTGGGGAAAGACTAGGACCTTAGCTCTGATTTAGGGCAGAGAACATGAACATGCTCCTGGAGCATGATGGGTAAACTGAAGGAGGAAACACCAAGCTGAGAGGCCAGTTTACACACTTTTGTGACATATCTGGGTAAAAATGTAATGAGAACTGAGTCAAGGCAACAAGAAGTAAATAACAAGAGAAAGATTCTGAGGGTTAAATTTGGCTGCGGGTAGGTGATGTTGCTGATTAGTAGTAGGAAGAGAACTTTGTAATTGACTGTGATATCTCCTGGCTGAGAGAATAATCATATTTACCCACAGTCAAGGGCACAGAAGTGGTGCGTACTTGTCACTGAAGGAGAATGGGAACCAAATGAGCAACCCCCTTACTGTTCTCTCACCAACAGGGTGAACTCCAGGATCCTCAACACCCACACAAAGCCAGTTGCAAGAGAAGCTCTGCCTACCTTTCCAAACTTCCCACCATTGCAGGAAATAAGTGGAAACTCCAGTCACTTCCTCTCTGGAACGTACTCTTCTTTCTTAGATACCAGATACTTCCTACCCTAATACCCCTATTTCCAACTCAGTTCATCCTACAAGACGAAGCCCTCGTTTCCAGATTCTGGTCGGATCCTTTGAGTCATCTCCAACTTCTATTTCAGTTCAAGTGTTGACAAAAAGTCATGAAGCCCTCCACCCAGGGAGGCAATGATGTATAGAGCCTGTCCTCCAAACAGGTGAAAGGGGAGAAGAAAATGTTTAATATCTCAGGAAG